CAGGCTGTTAAATTTTAGAAACAAAAGTGTTGCTAATGTTGCTCTTTTATAAAAAACGCCAAAAAATTTTCATCATTAAAAGCGTTTTTAATAAATTAGTTTTTTGTGATTTTTTATCAATACCCAGAACAAAATCAATAAAATGTGGTCAACATGGCGTTTTTTTTTTCACCGACTTGTAACTTTAATTTTTATTTATTCTATTTTTTAAAGTCAGAGAGAACCGAGTAATGGCATCTAAAACAAAAACTTTTGAAAATCATAAAAAATATTATTACAATATTTAAAAAAATAATTCCAAATCTTATCACATCATGACTCTGTTAAATTGTTCTTCTGCCCAAATTTTTTCTTCCGTCACCAAGTGCCAGAAAAGTGTCTCATAAAACACCATACAATCTATCATAAAAAAGTGACAAAGGTGAGGTTTTCAATACACATCCGTGTGGACGTAAATTCAATTAAAAACCTATCAATGGGTTATGATTTGAGTTGATTTTAGTATTTGAGTTTCTTCGACATAATAACAAGAAAATTGACACAATTATTGTTGGCACATGAGTATGTACAATTTGTTGTTGTTTTCTTCTTTGTTGTAATAAATGGAAATTTAATAAATATTCAAGTGTTAGAAATCATTTAACATGTTGTTGGTGTTGATGTTGATATATGAACGTTTTTTTTTTTATAACAGACATATTATTGCTGTCGTCAACTGATAAGAAACTTGGGAATAGTTTTTATAGTTCAGTTTTTTTTTCTTTTTTGACATATAAATGATAATGGATGTTTGGTGAGAAGTAGGAAGGAGAGTGTAGACAGAGACAATCTAGCAATGGAACATTTGACAGGGCATATGACATTGGTAGTGGAAAATTGTCTGGAATATTAATTTATTAACCTTTTAAATTAATATTCCAGACAATTTTCCTTGTTGCTCTGGGAGAATTTTTGACCTTTGACCAATGCATGGCAATGGCAATTTTTCGAAACCCAATAATCAATTATTAAAGTTACGCTAAATTCTTTGTTTAGATTTTTTTTTTCAGATTATTTTATATTGCTTGTTCTAAGTTTAAAATAGATCAATGCCTTTGTTTGTTTCTTGATAAAGAAACAAATGCAAATTTGTATTATATAGAAGAAAAAAACTTGGCAGAATTTAAATATATTATAACTACATACAATAGATTATTCTTATCGAATAAGTGTTAAGCCGGTCATGACGGAGCAAAAATTTAAATCGTAAAAAATGCTGGGACCATATTTCCACCACTACAATTTTAATAAAATTCCTTAATTCCTTTGATTTTTTAAATTTTCCAAATTATCTGTGATTTTGTTATTGTGACGCAATAATTTTTCTTTTCTTAATATTGTATTGTATTAATTAGTGGCGTAATTTGCATTGACTGACTCACAGTTTCTCCCCATTTATGAGTTCATCGCCCGGTGCATGTGAACGGAATGGGATTTGAAAAAACAATTAATTATTAATAAAACAAGTTCTGCGCTCGATCTTGGTATGATACAATGCGAAATTAAATCATTTTTCTAACCAGAAAATTTGTAAATTTTGTGTGAAACTAGAGGAAGAGTGAGAGAGAGAGAGACAAAAAATATCAGTTTTAGGATTATTTTGAGGCCGAAGGAAAGTTTAAAATTTCCCTATACTCAGAGAGATCTTTAATTTTAGGAGCACCGCATAGCAACTTATGGCGGCAAGCAGGCCTTCTCATTAAAAAAAATATGTCGCCATTTTTTTTAATGAGAAGACTTGCATTCCGCAAAAAAATTCTATTTTTGGTGATTTTTTCTCTATATTTGCAAAGTTGATAACACTTAAAAAACTTTTGGTAATTTTTAAAGTTGCAGTAGGGATAAATGTTTTTTTTTTTTTGGCGAAGAGTGAGAGAGATACAAAAAAATCAGTTTGTAGATAATTTTGAGGTCGAATGAAGTTTCTACAGAATTTCCCTTTACTCAGAAACCATTGAGTTCCTTAATTTCAGTTGCTCCGAATAGCAACTGAAGACGAATGCAGATCTTCTCATTAAAAAATTAACGATTTATATTTTTTTGGTGATTTTTTCCTATATGTGCAATATTGATAACACTTAACAAATTTTTGGCGATTTTTTAATTTACAGTAGGGATAAATGTTTTTTTGGTGATTTTTGATAATCACAAAATTGATAACACTTACAATTTTTTTTTACAATTTTCTATATTGTATTTTATATTGTCATCACTTGACATTTTATTGGCGATTTTTAAAATCACATGTTTAGCATCACTTCTTTGTGATTTTATAAAATCACACAGTAGGCAACACTTTTTTGTGATTTTATAAAATCACACAGTCGGCAACACTTTTTTGTGATTTTATAAAATCACAGAGTAGGTATCACTGGTTATAGGCATTTTTGCTCTTGTTGCATGGAATTGACAAAAATTCTCTGTCTGTTCATTCCTCATATAGGACTCATTTTTTTTTTGTGATTTTTTAAAAATCACAGGGTAGGCATTACAGCTTGGAAGAAATTTGAAATGAACAAAGTCTGCCAATTTTGTTTGAAATGTCCATCAAAAGATTCACAACATTCTCACATCATCATAAAGGAATTTTTGGCGATTTTTTGAAATCTCATCGTCATAAAAGGAATAATTTTTTTGGTGATTTTTTAAAATCGTATGTTTAGCATCACTTTATATAAATTCATTTTCCCTTATTGCATGGAATGGATGTTTCTCAATTTTGTTTCAAATGTCTATCAAAAGACTGATATCCTCTTATCCTCATAAAAGGAAAAAATTTTTTTGGTGATGTTTTTAAAAACGCATGTTTAGCATTAGTGTTTATAAAGGGATTTGCTCTTGCTGCATGGGGTGTATAAAAAGACTCTGAATTTTCATTTAACAGACTGGAATTATATAGGAATTAATTTTTTGCCGATTTTATAAAATCACCAAATAGGCATCACCGTTTGAAAGAGAATTTCCTACGCTGCACAGAATGGTTAAAGCGTCTCTTAATTTTGTTTAAAATGTCTATCAACAGACTGACAACATACTCATAAAGGATTAAACTTTTTTGGCGATTTTTTTTACAAACACGGCGTAGGAATCACTGTTTGGAAGAATGTCTACTCTCTTTCTCTCTGCATTTTGTTGGAAATGTTTATCAACAGATTGGCAACATCTTCATCAAGCAGTGGATTTTTCAGTGATTTTATTAAACCGCAGAGTAGGCAGCACTGCTGCATCACTGAACTATCATCGTAAGTTGACATCACTTGGAATTGCTTTTTGACGATTTTTTAATCACACAGTTAGCATAACTGGATATTCCTTTTTTGAAATTTGTTTCGGAATCACAAAGTTATCACCACCAATGATATTTGGTGATTCTGAGTTGGACATAGTTACAAAGTTGACATAGTAACCAAGTTGGTTGCTTTTTAGAGATTTTTCTATCATCGTAAAGATGACATCATTTGTTATTGCTTTTTGCCGATTTTTTATTTACACAGTTGGCATTACTAGAAATTCAACTTTTAAAACATTTGTTTGAAATCACAAATTTATATCAACCCAATCGTTTTTGGCATTTTTTCATAATCACCGAGTTGCATTACTAGAATTCACCCTTTCTTGATTGGCAACACTGACCGAGGATCAGCTCTCTCAATTTTTCTCATTTTTAGCAATTGATGACAATTTTCACATTTCTCTTTCATTACACTTTTCATTTGATCAAACATCTGTTGTTGTTTTACTTTCCTTGCAAATAACAACAACAATGCAGGAAAATTCAATGTCAAAACTCATTTATTTTCGAAAACAATGCAAAATGCCCACCACCCTTGCATTAAAATGCAATGCGTTTAAAGAGATAGGGGAGAGAGCAACAAATGACATTGAGAACAAAATGAAAGTGAATATGGTCGAGAGAAAGAGAGAGAGAGAGAGATACGTTAAAGGGGAGGTTAGAAATTATCATAAAAGGTAAATACAGGTGAGGGTAATAAACATTATTTAATTGTTGATGAATGGCTTTTGTAGACAACAAAAACAACAACGCTGAGACCATTGGCAAACATATTGTCTTTTACACCCCCTCCCCCCACACACACGCACGTACATGCTACAGCTAATTACTTCTTTAAGAAATAAACAAAAAAACATTACAGCACCACGTTCACATGTACTCAAAGCAAAACTGGGTCAACTTTGCGGTGTCTTTTCTGCTGTTGTTTGTATTCTTTTTATTTATGCAAAGCCAAGCATATGAGGGGTGTTTCCAAAAGGGTGGTGAGGAAAAAACCTTAAATTTTAGAAAACTACCATCGCCATGGAATTACAACATTCCCTTTCAATTACAATGTTGTTATTGTTGTTGTTACTGCACTAATAATTAACAAAAACAAAGTCATCACATGATGATTGTTGCTGCAATTGTTTCGTTCGTTGACTAAGTCGAGAGTCAGCGAGTCACACATAGCCAACATTGTCCAGAGCCGGGGGAAGGCGGGACCGGTTATGTCATTGTATTATTCTTCAAGCATTTTGTTTCAATTACTTTAGTTTATTTCATTCTCTTTTATGGGTTTTCTTATTCACAATATCAAACAATAAAAAGCACATTGGCATTTTATTTTTTTTTTGTTTTTTTGCATTGAACTGATAATGATCTAATCTTTTTTTGTTTTTTGATTCAAAATGTACAGCCGAGATTTATTTCACTGGCATATAATGCATCATTATCATGTACATATGTACGTTTGTATGGATGTGGGCCGAGACAGAAAAAAAAATAAAATGAAAATGCTGGAAATTATTAACTCATTTTCCATGCCACATTTTAGCTCCTTTGCCACTGGAATTACGAATACATCACTTTTCTTAATACTTTAATAGTTTTCCATATTTTCCATTTAATTTTTTGGATATTTTTATTTTGCAAAAAGGTCGCGGCGGCGTCTAACCGAAATTCTTACTTTTTTCCCCCAAAAAAAAACAAAGTCGTCGTCTTAAGAAACCCACAGTTTCTGGGAGTAACAAACACAGAACAAACAGATGAGAGAGATGATGTTGTTGTTGTTGCTCTGGTCCCCCAGTAATGACAGTAATTCGATAACGCAACGATAAGGCGCCAATCGAAACAGAACATATGTTATGGGTGAAACTTGAATATTGGTGTATGGCAAAATGGCAAATTAGTGCGGGAAATTGGGAAAAATGTATTAATAATTAAAAAAACTGTTTAAAAATCGTTTTTAAAAATACAAATTAATGAAAACGAAAGACACGTTTACACTGTAATGGATTTAGTTCTCAATTTTTTGAGAAATAAACGAGAATATAATTTTATTGAAAAGAGAAACATAGTCATTTTAATAAACATGCCATAATATAAAGAGAATTTGATGTCTTAAATCAGGTTTAAAACCAAAGTGATTAAAAATATATTCTGACTAAAATATACGGGTACAAAATTGAAGTGTAGATTTTGCAATGTATTTTGGGCAGGAAAACTTTTGATAACTAAAGAAGACTACAACAGCCTTTAGATTTAGAAAATCCACTAGATCTCAAATGTCAATTCCAATTTTTACACATTTAATCCAAAAACCCGTTCCCGAACTCCAAAAAATTGCGAAATCTTGTCTTCTCTTGTTGTTTTTTTCTATTTGTTTGTCCTGTTTAACAAATGTTTACATCATTTTATAGGCGAGCAAAAGTAGTAAATCTATCAATTCCGCGTAGTATCTGATGTTTCTAATGACACCCATGGTAAAATTAAGGGGTAAAAGGTAAAATTGGTTATCGTAGTAACATTTTACATAGCATTTTTACCATGGTACAATGAAATAAAGGTAACCTCATTTCAAATTAGCATTACCAGTTTTGCATTTTCTGTAATTTACCTTGTCAAATTGCAATGCATAAAAAGCAGTTCCCATCTCTGATTTTGTGTGTATATAATGGATTTATGAATATAGATTTTGACAGTGAGATATTGTCAAATATATAATTTTGAAAAAATTGTAATCATATGATTACATTACTTTACCTTCTTAGTTGTACCATGCATTTTTACATTTTTAATTTTTTAAAAATACTACATTTTTTATAAATATCGTATTATTATTATTTTTCCAACTTATAGCTACATTTTACATGCTACATAAATTCTTGAGCTTTCGATATCACAAATCTGTAATAGGCGTTTCCGGCGTCAACGCTTCACTTAAATTACTCAATGCGAAGCATGACACTTTATATTTTAAATTTAATACTTAAAAAATAAACTTAAAAGTAGAATGGGGAAAAATCTTGCTATATATTCAAGTTGAGGGTTCTTGGGGGGTGGAGTTCATAAAGATTTCGAATCTTATAAAGGCAATAAATCTGCTAGACTTTCAGCAATCGAACTGTCACGGAAACGTCCAATACGCAGAGCATATGTTATGGCATGGGCCACATAGGATTGTTCGTGCACACCATGGAACAGATAGGACATGGCACCTGGAAAGAAGAGAGATAAAAGAGAGAATTAAAATCAACACTTTTAGAGGACGTTTACAATATTTAAAGTTAACATTTGTAGATCTAGTGGCTTAAACTCGCGTATTTAGAAATACCCTAAGGGTAAAGTGGGTTTTTTTATTGGGGTCATGGTAGAAGAATATAGGTAGGCGCATCGACTCAGCTGCTGGGACAATGAACTGCCAAATCAATTTTGGAATTTAAAATGTTGAATGAAAAATTATTTAAATAAAAAAATTATTCTTCCAATAAAGCCAAATTGATGGACATTAAAACGATTTTCTTGTATTTTATTTCAATTCGAAGTTCTATACACCAATAAAAAAACACCCTTTATGTTTACATTTTTACTTTTTCCTGTTTTTTTTGCGATATTGGCATTTTAAATCAACGGGGTTTATTAAATCCGCTAAACTGTAAACGTAGTATTAGCAGAATATAAATATCGCTCAGCTGATATTTGTTTACGTATACGTACACAACCAAAAGAGAATGTAAAAAATAGCCAAAACATATGGTCTGTTCCAGAACCTACAAGAATCTACTAGACTTTTTTTCGATTTCAGATATGGAAAATCGGTTAGACCAATAATGTAGCGGAAAAGCTAATATGGCGATAATTAGTGTTGAAAAATAAATGTTATTTCAGATCTTTCATCGTCGGCATTTAAACAAAACCTTTGCGAAAACATTTCCGACTTTGGAGTTTGTTACGCAGTAGCAATGTAGAACCCCAGTGATGCATTCCCTAAGTAAGTAGATTCGACCAAAATTCAAAAAAACCTCATCCAGCCATAAAACGGTATCTTGATTTAAAGGATAATTTGGAATCAAAATTTCAGTGACATATATCATCTATAGAGATATCATTTGTTGAGGACCCCATAGCGAAATCTTACGAAGAAGATTTTCTCCCTTAACACTACCCGACCAAAATGAAATATGGCCGGATATTTTGACCAAAATCCAAAAATAACCCAAAACTACCAAAAACAATATTTCGTTTAAAAACGCAAATTGGTTTCCCGATTTCGGTGATATATGTCATATCTAGAGGTATATTTTGGTTGGAGGCCTAGGCTCAAATTTGATGTAGATTATTTCTTTCATTCACATCATTTGCCTAAAATGTCATTATCTATGACATTTTGGGCAAATGTGAAAAAATGACCCAAAAATAATCTACGAACAATTATTTTAAACGCAAAATTGGTTTTCCGATTTCGGTGATTTATGTCATATCTAGAGATATATTTTTGTTGGAGGGCTAAGCTAAAATATGATGTAGATTATTTCTTTCATTTACATCATCCAGCTAAAATGTAATTATCTATGACATTTTGGGCAAATTTGAAATATGACCCAAAAATAATCTACAAACAATTATTTTAAACGTTTAAAAGCGCAAATTGGTTTCCCGATTTCTGTGATATATGTCATATTTAGAGATATATTTTGTTTGGGGACTCAAACTTAAATTTGATGTAGATTATTTCTTACATTTACATCATCCAGCTAAAATGTAATTATCATTGACATTTTGGGCAAATGTGAAAAAATGACCCAAAAATAATCTATGAACCATTATTTTAAACGCAAAATTGGTTTCCCGATTTCGGTGATATATGTCATATCTAGAGATATATTTTGGTTGGAGACGTAGGCTCAAATTTGATGTAGATTATTTCTTTCATTTACATCATCCGCCTGAAATGTAATTATCTATGACATTTTGTGCAAATTTGAAAAATTACCCAAAAAATAATCTACGAAAAATTATATGATTTTCTCTTCATATTTTCCCCAATATATATCACACCTTGAAAAATCTCTTGTGGGGAGACCCCTACTGAAATATGCCATAGAAAAACTTTAACCTTGACACCATCCACCTAAAATGAAGAATTGTGCGCCAAATGACCCTATTTTTAAACAGCCATTTTTAATTGCCATATTTTTTGCTTTTCTAAAGCTGACTGACCACATGTCAAATTCTATTCCCTATCTTTTGTGTTTTTCTTCTTCATTTTTCCTTCATCATTAACTCACCTACGGCATGTATTGTCACATCACTACCACCGTGATAATTCTCATCGGTATTGATAGCACCCTGCTGCATATATTCCCAATCGTTGGTATCCTCCAATGTGGGATCCTTTCTCAGGCCATTGGCGTCCGGTTGAAAACCTTGATAGGTTGTGCCATATGTCAAGGTGGTGTATGGAGTTCCTTCGGTCTTGGAATTGCCAGCCACACCGAAAATATTCGAACCCTTCGAGGCATGACCATTAATTGTCAGCGTATGCGAATGATCGGCGGTAACTATGACCAAGGTGTCCTGTAAATCATTACCCAAGGCCTGTAGGGTGGCATTGATGGCATCATTAAAAGCCAACACTTCATTGAGGGCCTTGCGTGCCGTACCACGATGATGGGCCTGATCAATCATGCCACCTTCCACCACCAAGAGAAAACCTTGATTTTTCGATCTCAACACCTGTAATGCCTTTAGGGTCATCTGTTTCAGCGACGGCATGCCACTGGGGGAGGTATCCCTTTCATGTTCATACTTCAAATGACCATTGGCGAAAATGCCCAAAACATAGTCCGTATCCTGGGCATTGATGGCATCCAACTCCCCGGAGTTTTGTACCACAACAGCAGCCTCATTATTGGCAGCCTTAATGTTGGCCCATTGTTGTATCAAATCACGGCCATCATTCGACTTGCAGGACCAGGTGTCAATGGGATCAGCTTCAGAGTCGGTAACATTGGAAACCAACATTTGACGACCTCCACCCATAATGACATTGATTTTTTGCCCTGTCGGCTCTTCGATCAATTGGCGTGCAATATCGCGACAACCTTCCACGGTAGCTGCGGCAGGCATTTTCTGTTCACATTCCCAGCGACGATCCGGGGTATGGGCATATAGGGCTGCTGGTGTGGCATGCGTCACCCGTGTATTGGTAACAAAGCCGGTCAATTTGCCATCGTCTTGGGCCATTTTTAAAATCGACTGGACATGGCGATCGGGATTCAACGAAGCTGCACAATCTCCCAGCGGGACAGAGGAATCAACTCCACCAGTTTCATAGTTGACCTTTACACCTGAGAACAGGGCTGTGGCTGTGGAGAAGGAATCGGGAACTTGTTTGTTGGCACAGTAGGTCTGGAGAGAGAGAGGGGGAGAGAGAGAGAAATATGAGATTTGATATTTTCATCACAAAACACAATGAGTTCTTTGCTTTGCGGCAAGTACTACGGCGTGGCATCAAATTAAAGAATTCATTGTGTTTTGGCACATCAGGTTTAGAAAATTGGGAGAGAAATGCATGAAATTTGACATTTCCGTCTTAAAAGACAAAAACATAATGAATTCTTTGCTTTGCGGCAAGTACAAAAGCGTTGCGTCAAATTAAAGAATTCATTGTGTTTTGGCACATCAGGTTTAGAAAATTGGGCGAGAAATGCCTGAAATCTGACATTTTCGTTTAAAGAGGCAAAAACACAATGAATTTTTTGCTTCGCGGCAAGTACAAAAGCGTTGCGTCAAATTAAAGAATTCATTGTGTTTTGGCGTTTAATTTTCCCAAATTCCCGTTTTGGATAGTTTTCAATTGATTTTGTCTTTAAACAATACTGAACTTCAAAACGAAAGAAAACACTAAGCTCCAAAGCAAAGAATTCATTATGTTTTGGCTCATAATGCCTTTTCTATGCGGTATTAAAGAGTTTTCTCTGTAGTTCAGCTAAAAACAACAATGACTTGAAAAATTGAGAAAAAAAAGCGTAGCTTCAAAGCAAAGAATTCATTGTGTTTCGATCAATAACTCCTTCCCATGACCATATAAAGCAATTTTACATATGCCGTAGCTAGAATCAATGCATACATATAAATGTCGAAAAGAAAAGCGTGACTTCAAAGCAAGGAATTCATTGTGTTTTGGCCCATAGTTACCCACTTAAAACATATTGAACAAAAATCTAAGGATTTCATCTGAAAGCAATGCTGACCTGCAAGAACTAAGAAAATTTATAGTTTCGAAGTAAAGAATTGATTGTGTTTTGGCTTATTATAAACCCTTTAAACGGCAATAAACTATTTTCTTTGATTTTCTGCTAAAACAATGCTATTCAGTAAACATTGAGAAATAGTCGAGAAATAAAGCTTAGCTTCGAAGCAAAGAATTCATTGTGTTTCGGTCAATAACTCCTTCCCATAACCATATGGAGCAATTTTCTTTGTGCTGTAGCTAGAACCGATGCTGACATACAAATATAGAGAAGAAAGCAAGGAATTCATTGTGTTTTGGCCCTTAATTAGATTCTTAGGGTGCAAGTACATAATAGGCTTGAAGTCAAGGCTACGCATATTAATGTCAAATTATAATGGATAACGGCGGCAGGATTTTAGTGCGACTCTGTACTCCCTTTATGAAATGTTACAAAATATGCCTAGCCATGACTTCAAGCATCTTATGTACTTGCAGCTTTAGGCCATATTAAACAAAAGGCTATGGATTTCATCTGAAAGCAATGCTGACACACAAAGAACTAAGGGTGGAAATACATAAAGCGCATATATGGCTGGCTTAAGTCATCGGCTGGCTTCTTCGTAGATGGACAAATGAGTTTTAGGTTGACTTAGATCGATTTTGGCCCCGGGCTTCTTTGTTCATTTCCGAAGAAGCCAACCGATGACTTAAGCCAGCCAGATAAGCGTTTTATGTATTCCCATCTTAAGAACATTTTCAGCGTAGCTTTGAAGCAAAGAATTCATTGTGTTTCGGCCAGCTATGGGTTCTAATCCGGACCAATGATGACATAGAAAAATATTGAAAAAGAAAAAGTGGCTTCAAAGCAAGGAATTGATTATGTTTTGACCTACAACTGCTTTCTAAAACGACATTCGAAAATCATAGCCTCAAAGCAAAGAATTCATTATGTTTCTGATACATTCTGGTATTTCGTGTACAAACTCACTCATCAACTCACCTTCAGTAAACCCATGTCGGGAAACTTTTCCCATGACATCAGACCCTCTTCCTTGAAACCCATTATTCTGGCAGCTGTCACTGTGTTGGGTCCCATACCATCACCCACAAATAGAATGACATTCTTTGCTCTTCGCTTATTATCTTTACGTTCGACAGCATTTCTTAGCTCCGATATACCTTCTTCGACCCAGACACGTTGTTCGGGCGGTAGGGCCATTGTTAGGGCATCTTTTTCCCCACCATTTGGTAAGCTCGACGAGGGGAAGCCCACGGTGTAGTGGACCGCAAAAGCGGAAATCATAATCAGCAAAAGAACTGATGAAAATGACACAGCAATAATGAATACTTTCGATCTGTAGACACGTGGTTTGCGTGGCTTTAAATCGGCTTGAGAGCTTTGGCTATAATTATCCATGGGCAGTTCCAAGCTGCTGCTTGTGCTGTTTACGGCGCTGACGCGTTTACGATCAGTGGCCATTGTGTTGCCGTTTTAATTTTTTCCGTTTACTCGATTAATTCAGTGGCGTGAGGGGGAGAGATCCAGCGATATCACTTCCAGAATTTTGTCAACAACTCTGTAAGATAAGATGAAGAGGTGTTATTTTGTTTGTTAATTTTAAAGTGTGTTATGGTTGGGTGGGGGGTTGTTATCATTTTTAAAATTGCTAAATTGTAAAAATGTTTTCCAAAAGCTCATAAATTTCCTATGGGTTCAGCGAGAGAAATGGAATTGTTTTTGTGTTTTTTGAGGACTTATGATCGCGGGAGAATGATCTGATTTATATTAGGGGATAATAATTGTTAATTTATTTTGGCCTTATATGCCATGAAGTCATTCTGTTTTGCTTTAATAAAACAATAAGGCGAAGAACTCATTCTGTTTTGGTCATAAATGTCGAGAGTTAATTTATTTGGTTTGGAATAAAGGTGTGAGTACATAAACAGCTTTTAAGGTGGGAATACATAAAGCACTAATATGGCTGGCTTTAGTCATCGGATGGCTTCTTCGGAAATGAACAAAGGAGCCTAGGGCCAAAATCGATCTAAGTCAACCTAAAACTCCTTTTTTAATCTACGAAGAAGCCAGACGATGACTTAAGTCAGACAAATATGCGCTTTATGTATTTCAACCCTTAGTTCTTGCATGTCAGCATGGCTTTCATATGAAATCGATAGACTTTTGTTCAATATGGCTTAAGAATCTAATTATAGGCCAAAACACAATAAATTCCTTGCTTTGAAGCCACGTCTTTCTTTTCGATATTTGTAAGTCTGCATTGATTCTAGCCACGGCAAATGGAAAATTGCTCCATATGGTTATGGGAAGGAGTTATTGACCGAAACACAATGAATTCTTTGCTTCGGAACTACGTTTTCTTTCTTGATTCTTCTCAATGTTAACTGAATAGCATTGTTTTAGCAGAAAATCAAAGAAAATAGTGTATTGCCGTTTAAAGAGTTTATAATAAGCCAAAACACAATCAATTCTTTACTTCGGAGCCACAAATTTTCTTAGTATGCAAGAACAAGAAATTGCATTGCTTTCAGATGAAATCCATAGACTTTTGTTCAATACGGTCAAAGAATGGGCCAAAACACAATGAATTCCTTGCTTTGAAGCCGAATTTTTTCTATATCTCTATGCCAGCATTGATTCTAGCTACAGCACATAGAAAATTGCTCCATATGGTTATTCGAAGGAGTTATTGACCGAAACACAATGAATTCTTTGCTTCCGAACTACGCTTTTTTGCTTCTATTTTTCAATCCAAAGTTGTTTTTAGCTGAACTACAGAGAAAACTGTTCAATACAGCAAAAAAAGGCATTACAAGCCAAAACACAATGAATTCTTTGCTTTGGGGCCTTGTGTTTTCTTTCGTTTTGGAGTTCAACATTGTTTCAAGCCGAAATCAATAGAAAACTATCCATAACGGGAATTCGGGAAAATTAAACGCCAAAACACGATGATTTCTTTAATTTGAATATCATTTAATTTGACATATCATAAAGGGATGTCAGAGCCGCAGTCGAATCCTGCCGCCGTTTCTCCTTATTTTTTGACATTAATATGCCTAGCCATGATGCCTATCTGCTTATGTATCCTTACCTTGAAAAACAAAGCAAAAAAATTATTCTGTTTGGGTCTTAAGTCCCAAGCTTTCATTGTGTTTCGGTTTAAAATGAAAAGAAGAAGCTACGAATTCATTATGTTTTGGCCTTGAATGATAAGAATTCATTGTGTTTTGGTCTGATGAAGTTGGGAAACTAAAAAATTATGACGCGAGGAATTCATTCTGTTTTGTCAACAATTCATTCTGTCTTAGCTTTAAAAACATTTTAAATCTGAATTTGTAAATACATAAAGGAGTTTTAGGTTGACCTAGTTCGATTTTGGCCCTAGGCTCCCAAGCATTCATTGTGTTTTGGTTTTAAATGAATTGAAGAATTAACAATTCATTATGTTTTGGTCTTGAGTACATCAAAAAGCCAAGGCTTCATTATATTTTGTTGGATGGCAAGAATCTGTTATTATTATTTTGCTTGGGTCTTAAGTCCCAAGCCCTCATTATGTTTTGGTTTTAAATGAATTGAAAAGTTAAGGATTCATTATGTTTTGGCTTTGAATGAGAAGATTTCATTATGTTTTGGTCTAAAGAAGTTAGGAAGCTCATGAATTCTCCATGTTTGCTATCAAATCCCAAGAATTCATTATGTTTTTGTTGTGAGTGCATTAAAAAGCCAAGGTTTCATTATATTTAGGAAGAATCTTATGTTATGGCTTAAAATAAATAAAAAGCAAGTGTTAAATTTGTTTTAGTGATTAGAATTCTTTAGGTTTTGGTCCTAAATGAGACATGAGACATGCGAAGAATTCATTCTGTTTTGGCAATAATTTATTCTGTCGTAGCTTCAAAAACATTTAAAATCTAAATGTGAGAGTACATAAAACGCTTTTTTGACTGGCTCAAGTCATCGGCTGGCTTCTTTGGAAAAGAACAAAAGAGTTTTAGGTTGACTTAGTTCGATTTTGACCCTATGCTTCTTTCTTCTTTTACGAATAAGCCAGCCGATGACTTATGTCAGCCAAATATGCTCTTTATGTATTTCCAGCCTTACTTACGTTTTGGCCCTTAGGCAATAATAAAGCTGATCATATTACCTTTTTGGGCCTTCAATGCTTAGAAATCATTTTGTTTTAGGTCTTTAATGAAACAAAACGCGAAGCATTCATTCCGTTTTAGTCTGTATTGACTTTAAATTACAAATCTGAGAATTCCTTATGAATTAAGGTGAGAGTACATAAAATGCTTTTTTGACTGGCTTAAGTCATCGACCGGCTTCTTCGGAAGAGAAGAAAGAAGTTTTAGGTTGACTTAGTTCGATTTTGGCCCCACGCTCCTTTGTTCTTTTCCGAAGAAGCCTTTATGTATTTTCTGGCATTTTATGTATTTTCTGGGTATCTAGTTTTCTTTGTGTTTCGATTTTAAATGACATGATTGCATTATGTTTCGGCCTTGAATACATCCCCAAGTAAAGAATTCATTAAATTTTGGCTTAAATCTCAAGAATCCCTAATGTGTTGGACTAAAGTCAATATTATTTCATCTTCTTTGGTCTTCAAATGCTCAGAATTTATTAGGTTTCGGTTTTATATGAAGTTGCCAAGCATTCATTCTGCTTAGGCTTGAAATAAATTAGAAATCTTTAAGCTCATTACACATTAATCTAACGTATCAAGTATTCATTGTGTTTCAGTTTTAAATAATGAGATTTTATAATTTCTGGGCCTTAAGTCAGTTACGAAACCAAGATTTTATAATGTTTTAGTGTAGATGCCAAGAATTCATTCTGTTGTGGTTGTACACGACACTGATTCATTATGTTTTGGCCTTAAACATATACGAAATTCAAGAATTTATTACGATTTGGTTTCAAATGTCAAGAATTTATTTTGCTTTGGGCTTCAGTGAAAATAACAAAGCCAAGAATTCATTATGTTTTGATAGAAAAATGGCTTTCGAGTGAAGAATTCATTTTGGTTTGGCCTTTAGTGAATACCAAAGCCAAGAATCGGTTGTGTTTTGGTAGTAAATATCCAAAATGCACTATGTTTTGGCCTTAAATTTATTAAAAACTCCCAGAATTCTCATTGTTTTGTTAAAAAGTCCCAAATAATTCATTATGTTTTGGCCAAAAACCAACATCAAACGCAAGATTTTTTTATTATTTGGCCTTCAATGAATTACAAAGCCAAGGATTCACTATGTTTTCGTAGTAAATGTCCAAAATTCATTATGTTTTGTTCCCATAAATTTATAACAAAATCAAGAATTCTTAAAAATTGAAAGATTTCATTCTGTTTTGACCTTCCATGCTTCACGTGTTTAATTCTACGCAATTTAAACAATAATAAATTTCAAAATTAAAGCTATTTTTAGATGTTTTGCCAACTTTCTTTTGCGTTATCGAAAGCCTTAAATTAATAATATTTACAATTCGAATTTATTGTACTTGGCAAAGTTAACGTACCGAATAGGCATTATTATCACAAATAACGCGTTAAGTCTGTGTGGCCTAAAAACAAAAGCGTTTATTGTTTTTATCGGTTGTTTACAGTTCAAAAAAAAGAGGTCATAAAATGGCAATTGGAATAAATAATGGGATAATTGAACTCAGTACTTAAGGCTTAAAAAACACGCCAAAGCTCTAAGGTGAGAATACACAAAACACTTATTTGACTGGCTTAAGTCATTGGCTGGCTTTTTCGGAAATGAACAGAGAGCCTAGGGCCAAAATCGAACTAAGTCAACTTTAAACTCCTTTGTTTATCTGCGAAGAAGCCAGCCAATGACTTAAGCTAGCCAGATATGCGATTTATGTATTTTCACCCTTAATCGTGATTTCGTCGTGAAAATACAACACTGTCAACCATTTTTAGCTTGACGAAAGGTGAAAACAACAAGTGGCAACAGTGTTGTATTTTCACGTTTTTACTAGAACAATAAATTCGGATTGTAAATATTTCATTTTTTAAGGTGTTGATCCGTTTTTAAAAGTTTTTGATCTAATTCACCCTCTAAAGTGATGATATATAAGCAGCATGACATGGCATATTAATGTCAAATTATAAGAATAACGACGGCAGGATTTGAGTGTGGCTCTGGGATCCTTTTACAATATGTCACGGTGATGCCACTCTGTTTCCTTTCGTTGAAATTTTGGCCCAATTCAAAAAATGCACAAAAATAAACCAATATTAACTTTTTGGCAATTTTTCACTAAGATATCTGGGGAAAATGTTATATCTAGAGATTTCTGCCGATTGATAAACTATATTGAAACATTGCGTGAAAAAATTTTGAAAGCAAGATCAAAATAGGCCCAAAAATATATGGTAACTAAATACCCAACATGTCATATAACTTTTTACCAATATTTTTTGTAGCTACAGATTTCTTGTGTTCAGTGACTTATAGTGAAATTTGATGTAGAACAATTTTTCCATTAATACTTGCCACCTATAAAGTAGGTTTGTAGAAGATTTTGACCAAATTCCAATATCAATATCAAAAA